CTGCTTTGCACGGACAATTTGTCATGTTTTAATCTGATATGTAAGCATTTCGCCGACGTTTCGTCATTTTTTAATCCGATATGTACGCGCCTCCACGGGCCGGGAACGAAGACACACGTTATATTTTTGGGAATATGATAAAAATGGCTCACGTTCGCTCGGAGGCTTGTCTAGAACGTGTCTGAAGGCGGCGTATAAACGTGTTTCGTGGATCTAATCTCTCATTACAACCTAGAGAAAAAAGGGGTCATAACTCGGGCACGGAGCAAGTGTTAAGTGGTAAATATTATCTCTCTCTTCCTCTGTTTGTTCTTTCTTTGAACGAGGTGACGAGGTAGCTTAGAGAAACTGGAGTCACTCGGTAGATCTTTTGAGAGTGAAAGGGGGGAGGAGAAGGAGAAGGAGGCAGACGACGAGGAAGAAGAAAGGGCGAGGGTAGTTGATATGACGGGGTTTTATTTGGGTTCGTCGAGCAGTTTTGGAGGCGGGTGGGGTGGAATAACTGTCAGATTAACGATAATATCGGAGTGTGGAGAAAGTTGAAGAGAGAGGTGAAGTGGAATATGTGGAACGCCCACAATGCTATACTTATTGTGTCCACTTGGTGACCTGTTTGTTTGTCTGTCTATCTGTCTGAATTTTTGTGTGCGTGCGTGCGTGCGTGCGTGCGTGCGTGCGAGTGTGTGTGAGTGTGTGTGTGTGTGTGTGTGTGTGTGTGTGTGTATGTTTGTGCGTGTGACTGAGTGTGTGTGTATATGTGTGTGTGTGTTTGTGTGTGTGTGTGTATATGTGTGCCTGAGTGTGAGTGTGTGTATGTGTGTGTGCGTGTGTGTGTGTGCGTGTGTGTGTGGATATATCTCTGTCTTTCATATTATTTCGCTGTTACTCGGTCTCTCCCCCCCCCTCCCCCCGCCCAACACCCTCTTCTCTCTGGGGGCCCTCGTGGTCTAATGGTACGGTGTTTGACTTTCATTATATAGGTACCGGGTTCGTCACCTGACATCGACGGAAAATTATTTTTCCCATGCTGTATAATCATGTTCTGTCGTCTGCTTTAGTCTCCACTTGCCCCCTCTCCTCTAGGCTCCTGACTCTTTTTGCAGCCATTTTACTGCAAATCTTTGGCTCCTTCTCACTGCTATCTTTCAACCATACCCCTTTTCTTAGGGTATGTAATATGTAAATTATAGCCTTGTCGGATAAAGGCAGAAAAAATCTTGGAGGCCCCGTGAGAAAATTGGGAGCGTTAAAGATCCTTTGGTGGTCGATAAGAGATCTAGGCTTCACCCGCCACTCGGACCAAATTCAAAATTAAATCCTACCAAACTGAATAATACTTGTCCCGCCCGCTCATGTGACCTTATGCAGTTGCGTGAGCCGTAAAATACTGACTTATGAAAAACAACCTGACCCCCCCCTCTCTCT